TGGTAATGTCTATACAGATGAGAAAGCTGAAGTTCAGAGAGTTTAAGTAATTTTTCCAAAATCAAAAAACTAAGAAATGGTAAAGCCACACTGTAAATACAGGCCTCATTTTGAAATTTCTCCTATTGCTGCTTCCCAAAATAGAGGTTAAAGGAAAGGTGAAAGATTCCCATTAAACTCAAAAACTCATAACATCAAGTAATTTTAGACATTTGACATTTGATGATTGGCAATGACAGAGTTTTCTCCTTTTAAATCGCTAGAATTTGATGTGGCTAATATTCATGTCGCAGTCATGAATCTTTAACTGTGGTGATTAATCAACATTTCTTTCCTTCAATCTGGATACTGCCTTTATATTTGCATGGTCAGAAACTAGGAGTTAAACCAAAGCAGGGACGGAAGGTGATAGGAATCCCCAAATATCGCTCTCTGCGAGTAGACAGCACTGCCTACACTTCAAATCAGCAGCACCAGTGTTTAACAGTACAGAGATTCCAGCCCTCTAGGAAGTCGATTTTTAAAAGAGTCTAGAAAGGGCAGTTTGTTTAAATCGACACACTATCTTCAAATTGAGAACAAAGTAAAGCAATCTCACGCCATTATTTTAAAGAGGAACACTCAGATCTGTGCCCACACTGACTGACGCACAACAAAATGGCAATACAATCCTTCCACTTGTCTATTTTTAACTGACCGCACAGCACTGTTTCTTTAGTTTATCTTAGAATTTAGACAAGACGGATAAGCTGAGTTATGTAGCAGGAACAAATAACCTAAACATTTCCGTGGCTTACTGCAGCAAAAATGTTTCTACCCCATGTTGCATGTCCATTGCAAATGGGCATTTGGGGCTAATGGCACAGCTTTGTCCATCAGCCTGATGGAGGGGAACAAACAACATAACAAATCATAGATGAGCTCTCAAGAATTCTACCCAGGACTCGTACCCATTATTTCTTATTTTAATATCCAAAGTAATTCATGTGACCACATTTAACTTCAAAAGAGCAGGGATGTGCCGTTTTGAAATGGGGGCAGGGAAAAATTCTACAATACTTGGTAGAAATCACAGCAACCTCACTATAATTATTTCTAATCCCTCAAACATTCTGTTTGTTCCTGGGAAGAAAGACAATGAGAGACAGAATATCAGAAGTTAAAAATTCAATCAGCAAACTAAAGATAAAAAATTGTTTAAAGTCCACTTAGAATGTGTAAGGTTAGGCCATAAATTTTAGGAACGGGATGCATGTACAAAGGAAGGGGGAGAACATTCCACTTGAGAATGGATCGTTGAGAACTCAAAATGAATTGTTTCACAGAAAAAAAAAAAAGATGATACATGGTGTTTGTGTTCCTGTATTGATCCACGAGGCTTCATTTAACCCATAGGTGAAAGAAAATTAGAACTACAAAGAGTGTTTGCCTTGAGACTGAGAATCCAGGAGCAGGAAACATTGCAGTTAAATTAAAAAGTAAAAGGAGTTAGAAAAGGGAAAGCTTCCATTCCTGTCTTTAATACACAGGCCTGATCCTAAGCAACATTTTTAATAACTAAGGTTGACTCTAGTCCCTTACCCGGGGACCACCAGATACCATTGTTCTCACACAGTCATGAACAACATACAGTCCTTTCTTCAGGACTCTTTTTATCCCAAATATTGTGCTTAGATCCAAATTTATTTTCTCCCTCATCCAGTACCAATTTCCTGTATTTTGGTGCACTGACCTTAGCTAACGGTTAAGTGAAAAATTGAGGTTAGTAGAAAGAGAACCCAGATAAGTATGAGGGCATATGAGTTCTAGCCCCAGCTCCAGAAATACATTTCTCAGGCTACAATTTTGTGATACATTTTATGAGTTTATTAATCCATACTGCAGAAAAGAAAATATAGTAATAAGAGCTGTCACAGAATCAAATGAAATTATAGGAACAAATCTTTCAAAATTCTTAAAGTGGTATAGATGATGATGATAATAACAATATAGAAAGTAATCAGATTGAGACAACGTATAACGTTTGAAAAACTGACTTTTCTACAATCCAAACTGAAATGCTTGCATCTTCAAAGGTGAAAGCTTATTATCACAATTCCTTGTTACTTTCTTGAAAGCAGAGATGGTTTCTTCTGTCTCCGTCAGTCATGGTATATAGCATATACTCCATAAATGCTGCGTTGCTTTGAAGCATAAAGAACAGCATAAATTAAAGCATAGAATATAGCCTGTGGAACAGAAAGAAGAAAACTGTCCTGAAAGGGACAAAAGAAAGGTGCATCTGGAAAGAGAGTGGAGATCCAGTTTCACAGGGTTTGAGGATGGGTCCATGTTATTAGGGGCCTTAGCACAGAAATAGGAAGATAGAATTTGTAGAGCAAGACAACAGCCAGGAGCTGTTCTAATATCCAGCCACAGCAATTACACACAAAAGCCATGGAAGCTGATGTCCCAAAATAATGAACCTGTCAGGAAGGTAACTTTTTACCACATCTTTAGGCTTTTCTTAGTAAACAATTAACAAGTTTCTAAATAGCTAAGTTTTCAACATTCCTATATGAGGGGATCTCCCCTTTCATCCTAGCATTTGCTTTTCTTTCCTGGTATATATATATATATATATATATATATATATATATATATATACACATACATATACATATACATATATATGTGCATGTGTGTGTGTGTGTGTACACACATATGTTTCAAGAAAGTAACATGGTTGTGATAATAAGCTTTCATTTGTAAAGGTGCAAGGAAAGATATATATAGATATAGATTAGACATAGATAGATATAGATTTTTATCTTGCTACACAATTCCCTGTACTGCTTGAAACTCAGTTGGTTACTATGTTGGCTGAGTACCTTGTTCTGAGATGCTTTATATAAACACTGATTACATATTCACAGAATGAATTAGGAAGAGCTTTGAACGAAGTGTTTGATAGGTAGCAAAGGAAGTATAAAGAAATGTCAGTGCAGCACTTGCCAATCAAAGACAGGATTAATTACCACTAATATGGACGTCCTAATGAGACAGGTTGATTAATAGGACAGAGATATGGAATATTCCTAGTCCTTCACTTGTCTTGTCCTCTAAATAAAAATAAAACCTCTTCTTACAGAATTCCACTTAATCAGGCAAACTGAACAAACAGAACCTCGGTGACCCCCAGAAAGAGCTTTCCATTTCATGACAGAATTGATTAAAAGACACTTTGTTCCTAGCTCTAAGTTGAGAGTAAGCTTAGAGAGGGGTTATTTCTCTCAATGAAGTTTTTAAAGTACCATATTTGTGATAGGTTTAAATCATATTCTAGGTCAAAGTATATTCTTTATGTGTGTGTGTCACCATAAGAAAGTCTATAATGCAGGCCCTATATTATTTTCCTGATATTATCTTATATATTAATGTTATTTCTGTAATGAGCTTCTATTCTGCATATGCTTAGAAATCAGAAACTGGATAAAAACATATAATGTGATCTCGTATCATTTATTTCCAATCAGCACTTAGCCCAGCAGAAATCACTTTTGAAAATAAATGTTGGGCCAGTCCAGCTGAGTAACAAAGAATGGTGATTTCAACATTTAACTCTTAATTATCCCCCTAGCAAATGAGGTCAAGGAAGTTGTAAGCAGCAAAATCAAGGAAGATGATACATTTCTTGACTTCGCCTCAACATGTCTTCATCCAGCCTAACCAAATGGAAATTCATGGCATATTTTAAGTAACTCAAGGAGCTGAGGGCAATTGAAGTTGTACCAGTTGCCTGTGGTATTAATAAAAACCCTTGAAGTGATACCTGTGTCCACAGATCCTTCTTCACGAGGCTCCCAACAAAGCCATTCTGGAAAGAAAGCCAGAAAACACTTTGCCTTTTCAATTACCATGAGTGACTAAAGCAAAGGACATTCAAAAATCAATATCTTGGCAGCATGGGACAAATCACTTTTCATACTTATGACAATTCTGTTTTGTTCTGTTTAGTGACATGTATGAAAACCCTATGACATGAATACCAACAAAAGTGTAGAAGAGGCTTCACCCTTATTTCAAATGCTCTCACAGGGTCTCTGACCATGAGCAAACCACAGCAAAGATTTTTTGTGACAATCCTGGGTTCCATTGTAAATAACAAGCAACTTCAGAGTGAAATAAAAGAAATGTTGATGACATATTTTAGACTTTCTTAAGACATATATTTCAGAATTTAGAACTTCTTAGATGTTAAAAATGTAATCTGTGTAATGGCACATGTATTAAGTACCCCCAAATCAACCATGAGAATATTTCCTCAGAAAAATGAACAAATATTCACACTAAATAACCTTAAATCTGTTCAGCTCGATGTTTTTTCCAAATATGTGTTAGCACCAAAGATATCAAAAATATTTTAATGTTCAGAGCTTATGTTTTGAACTTAAAGATAAGGGATTATGGACTATAATGAGACTAATATCTATCATTTATCAGTCTTAGTTTTTACAAATCAGTGTGTTAATCTGATTTGATCCTTCCATCTACTCTGGGAAAATGTTAAAACTGAAGACCATAGAGACCATAGAGTAACACTCCTAAGATCAAAGACTACTAAGTGGGTAGATTTAGGATTCCATCTTGAGCCAGACTTCAAATCCTCTGCCTTTAACCACCCTACTATATTACAAGAGATGCAAGGCTTATTGGTTTTGAATTTTTAGTTTTATTTTATTGTGTGTTGGATTTTTTGTTTATTTCTTTTATTAGAAGTAATAGCAATGTTAAATAATTTGGAAGAAATTACTTATAACTTACCATCCTGACACAGATTATCATCTTCATTTATCTTGTTATTGGCCATATATCAGGATATACCCCCACCCTCCAGGAAGAGCTACAGAAAGCAGAAAATTCACTTGGGGGGCAGGTGTACACAGGAATAGGAAAGGTAACCATAATTGGAGATTGACAAAAAGAAACAGCTAGAGAGGAATGGACATCATTCCCCCTACCTTTTAAAATGATGAATATGTAAAGAAGAATAAAGTTGTTAAGAAGCAGCGAGTAGAATGGTAATATGTGTAGTAGAGAGTTAGAATGTTAAGAAGCAGTAGAATGGTAGAGTGGTAGTATGTAGAGAGTAGAATGTTAAGAAGCAGAGAGTAGAATGGTAGTTACCAGAAGCTTAGGGATGGGAGAACTGAGGAGATGTTGGCCAAAGTACCTAAAATTTCAGTAAGAAAGGAGGAATGAGTTAGAAATCTGTTGCAGATCATGGTAGCTACAGTTAATAACAATATATTGTATACTTGCAAATTGCTAAAAGAATAGATTTTAAGTGTTCTCACCACAAAACAAAGTATGTGAGGTAACGTATATGTTAATTAGCTTGATTTAGCCATTCTATAATGTATACATATATCAAAACATCATGTTGTACACCATAAATATATATACAATTTTCATTCGCCAATTAAAAAAGGAAGAGTAGACAGTGACAGAACCCCCAAAAGAGGTTTCCTTTGCAAACATTAAGGATTATTTTAGGCAGAAATTTAAATTCTCCAGATGGCATAGGAGCAGAATCAAATTTAAAAAAAAAATGACACCAAAGGACCAATTAGTAAAGACCCAAGAAAGAGTCTCCAGCCAGAGGATTTCTGGGAGGACTAGTCATATCAGAGCACAGAGCCAAAGTAATCTAGTAGGATACTAACTGTGGGACTCCAGCAGAGCCGGTCATCGTGCAAAGTTATACACCATAGAACTGCATGGTATAATAGGGGTTGATTTCCATCCAAGAAGCCTCTTTCTAAAACATTGTCTTAGGACTATTGGTAAGTTGGGATTCAAGGGGCTGTCCAGCACTGCTCACTGTCACAAGAGCTGGGCGAGGCCCCAAATGAAGTAAATTGTGTTACTCCCTTCCAAATCTAGCTCTGCAGCAAACCAGTTCATAATAGCAGCATCTTTGACACTAAGACCACCCATTCAAGAAACCTAAAGCCATCTTAAGCATCTGCATTCTACCTTTTAGGAAAAGCAAATGTATACCTTAATTTGAAGCTTCCCAATGAATAAACCATCATGTGGGTAGTAATTCGATGTACATGTATAGATGCTCAAAGTAATAAATACATTAGTTCAGGAATTGGGATACCACTAATCAAGAAGATAAAGTAACCTCTTAAACATTTTTAAACACAAAAGCAATAATCAAACTATCCTATTTTCCCCTAATCAACTATTCCCACGTACAGAAGAAGCACTAAGATCAGCAATCAGTTGTTAAATATTAGAAACCAGTTCCTCGCAAATTCATGAGTCAGAGGCAGAGCCATAGATAACTGTGGATAATGACCTTCTGTTAAATAAGATTTTTAAGGCTGTGTCAGCACATAAGAATAAGGGTGGAGTCTGAGCTTTTCTATAAGATAAAGATGGTTGAAATTCATATCTGTTTAGAGAAAATTAAATTTAGTTTAATTTGTTTATGGGCATTAATTCCTTTAAACAGTGCAGAGTATCTGACTTGAAACAAATTATTATTGAGAGACAAAAAAACAAGTGCCTAATTCATGAATTTGCTGATTATTTTTTACTTTCTGTAGACATTAGCTGCATTACGGCTACAGACCTGACATTATAATTTCCTGGAGATAATAAATGTGATGTTCCTGACATAATATTATCAAATACCTCATTCCCAGCAATGCTTGGAATGGAGTTCCATGCTGAAAAGAGTGTGTCGTTTTAGGGCTAATAAGCTGATACTAAATCTCTCTTTTGCCCTTCCACAAGGACAATCTGTTAAAAATATAATGCACAGGTTTTCACTCAAAAATTGAAATATGGAGTAGGAAATGCTAGTATTTCTCTTCTGGAGTTTAATCATTCAAATCCTTCCCATATATCCCTTCATTTACATGGCAAGTCCTAATTGTCCTCTAACATCCAGTCCCAATGTCCTCTCCTTCTGGAGCCCTTCCCAGACTCTGCCATACAGAGTGTGGCTCTCTTCTTGTTGTCCCCATGGGATTCTGAAAAAAAAAGTGCTTATTTTATTATTATTTATCCTTTACATGTTATTCTTCCATTATTAAAGTATAGGCTTGTCATGGGCAGAATGTATGCTTTCCTTATCATTTCTACAGCCACAATGATGCCTGGAATATATTAAGTTCTCAGCATAAGTGTGTTATATGATGAATATATGATGGGGGACATAATTAACCACCTTCTCTTTACCTAGCACTGTGCTCAGCACTTTGTTACATTATCTCATTTATTCCTCCCCTCGACACTGAGCCTATCATCATACCCATTGGGTCAAAGAGGAAATCAGGCCCACCTGCGTTGTTAATAGCTTGCCTGAGCTCTCATAGCTAGTAATAGAAGAAGTATCAAACCAAGATTATCTGCTACCAAGATTTCTCCACCACAGCAGTGGGCAGTGGGCATGTTTGCAGGGAGCCTTCAATGGGATCAAACAATGCTTGGACTATTTTACTTCCACAAAACTAAATGCAGCAGTGCAGGAGACAAATGAATGATGCAGATTCAGTGGAGTAAAATTTGTAAGAATCTGGTGCAAGTACAAATATTCTGAGGGGTATAACTGCACACTTCCAAGTGACTATGAATTAAATAAATAAAATATTATGCTGTCTAGATGACGAAGAGTGAACATGTATTTCTAGGAATATTCCTCATCTCTCCTTTTTTTGACATTATATGTAATGTCAAATAATATCATATATTTGTGGCTTTCTTCTTTAATATCTGTCTCCACTTCACAACCAGACATCTATATTAGATCAGAGCATGTTGTCTTACACTAAATTATATCTTCCCAAATACATCATGGTTGCCAACAGGGAATAACAGCTTAGGAAGTATTTGTGGGGAAAGATGGATTGACGAACAAATGCAGGTATAACAACAATACATTTATCTATAGGTCATATTTAGTCCATAGCACAACAATGTATCATGTGCTTGAACTAGATCATCTCAGAAACACTTTTAGCCATATTTTCACACCCACCCTTTCTTGAGCACCTACATCTAGAAATGGCACTCATTGTGTATCATCTCTAATTATCACAACAGCCTGTAAAATATATGTCCATGGCCCTCTGTGAATGAGGAAGCTAAGGATCAGAGGCATTGACTGTAAGATCATGCAATGAACAGACAATGAAACATGGACTTTAACCAAAGTCCATATGACTCCAGGCCTCATACACTGTCCATGAAACCCCTCAGCATCTCGTGAACCACATGGAAATTGTTACACAATCTGATAAGAAAAGGAATGAAAATCTTTGTAGTATAGTGTTAGCAATTTACCAAGGAAATAATTGTTACTACAGTGGGCATTTGAGGGTTATTTTTTTCCGACAGAGACAGTAAGGAAGTGGTAGAGAGAAAATATATAAGAGATCTAGGGCCTGTCATTTTGAACTGACAACAAAGTTAATTGCTGCTCTTAACAACCCTGGCATTATTGGGATTGTTTTTGAAGTTATAAAAAGTCCTGGTAGTCACAAATTTTTTTGTTCATTCCAATGATCCCAGCTCAACCTGGTTGATGGAGATAATTCAAAGGAAATCAAATTTTGACCGTGATCTATGAAACATGCATCTCAATTACAAATATGCATTTAAAGCTATGAAGGAAAAAACACATTTTACAGTGAGGTGATCTGCTGAAAACAAGTCAAAAAGTTTAAACTAACAAAATTTTAAATAAAATGATTAGACTACTTATATAAAAGTTTGTTGCTAAGCAACCACATCAATGGAATATTTCAATTATGATTTGAAGTTCTCGAGCTCCCCTTAGCAGTAACAAAAATAGACATTCCATAGCTAATGAAATCATTTTCTCATAAAATATGGAAACCTGAGACTAATCCTCTGAAACAAGGTGTCCTAAAAACATGGCAACACATTATTAAAACATAAAGTAGGGGCCTGGTAACTGTAATTTGTTATTTTCCATTGTACATTGACTTTTTTCCACCAAAAACAAGCTCTTGTGTAGTCTACTATGTTTTTTAACGTCCAGTAAAATAATTGGATATATATTTCCTTTTGGAAATCATAACTGTAGTCATTAAGCAGGTGAGTGATGAGGTAGTTATACAACCTCCAAAGCTTCACATTTCTCTTTAAAGCACAAATTACTCATCTTCAGATTTTAAGATCTGCATTATTTTAGTATGAAATATGAACAAATTAGGATGCTTTACTATTAATTGCCTGTGATAAACTGTGAAATCGTTTTTACATTTGAATGTATGTGTTTCCTTCTTTCACTCCTCCTGTTGGGAGCTGGCCATCATTAAAATTGGATAGTAGCAGCTGGGCTTAACAATGTCGTGTGAGGTTATCAGTTCATTCCAGCCTCTCCCAGTCAGACTATAACTGAAACAATCCCCAGCAAATGATTTTTTATTCTTTTCTTAACAAACGTCTTTAAAAATAGATGAAATGTTATCTTCTTATAACCAGTTTCGGAAACTAATATTTCATTTAGATTAAAACATGCAAAGTAATTTTTTAATCTATTTTAGCTTAAGATCTCTGGGCAGTAGGAGCTGAGTGAGGATTCTAGTGCAGGTGGTTAATGTTGAAGGTGATCTTATAAAGCACAGGTAGAAGAGAGGAAAAGTGAGGCAAAAAACCGATGAGCTTATGAAGGTGTATTCAAGCAATGTCCCACATCAGGCGACTTAAACTTAATTCTGCTGGAGAAGTCTAGGAAATGGGGTATAACACATGCCTTCAAGCTATCTCACAGAGGAGCCAGGGACCACAACTGTGCCCAATAAATTAACATACGCATGGAGCTATCTCACAAATGCACCATCTCCTTTGAAGGAGCAAAGGCTTTAATTCCCTGAGACTTCTTGCAAGCCACGTGAGCAGAGGAAGACTTCAGAGAAAGAGATGCAAGTTGTGGAAATTGGATATCAATGACAATGTGCACCAATATGGTGAGGCACCTTGGGCATGGGATGGATTTTATGTTTCTGGGAACATTTATAAGTCAATAACCAATAGAAATTAGAGATTAAACCCATCAGTATTTTTGCCATTCGGTGGGATAACTCTAAGGCATGTGCTGCATTATTGTTCAGAGTTCCCAGAGGGACTGAGTTATCTATGACCCCAGCCATAACCTGTTTGATGTCACCTGTCTGGGCTTTATTCTCTTACTTGTCTCACTTCCCCTGCTGGAATCACCTCCCAAATAAAGTAATTGCATTCACATCCTTATCTCAGAGACTACTTCTGGGGAAAATCAACCAAAGATATTAGAAAATTATTTTAATTTGTAACCAAAATTTTTTCAAAATAACCATTTTGCAGCAGAGATGGCGAATAAGGGGCAAGATTGATTTTCACATCCAGCATAAAAGTAAAACTGGTTTCCTCCTTTGTTTTCTTTTCTAAAATATTCTATCTAAATTAGTCATCTAACTTCTTCAGCGTCATAACTCTTCTCATGCTGAATACCCAAATTCGACAATTGGACAATAGCATATGAAAGTCATTTTCTTGGCATCTCCAAAAAGATCATTCTACCTCTCTCAGAGCCTATCAAGAGTACAGTAATTATCTCACCTGGGCATCTCCAGGAGACTTGTACCAAAAGCTGAGAGGTTTTTCTCTCTCTTACTACAATGCCACCAGACACGCTGCTGACAAATCAATGTTTTAGTGCATAGCTGTAATGATATCCCTCCCAGGTTTAAAATAATTTGGAGGTATCATGTACCATGCTTCCTGCTGAATTGAATAAAATTTCCTTGGCCTGCTATTCAAAACATTCCCAAATCAGACACCACATTATATAATCAGAATCAACTTTTCAACAGCAAATATCCTACTGGACTCATTAGAGAGTTTTTGAACATCTGTTGTGGGTGGGTATTAGGTTCATCAAACATCCAAGTTTGCCTACAGTTCACTGTCCTTGTCCTGATGCTGGAAAGCCTCACATCTCAAGAAACCCCTCAGACCCTAGCAAACTAGGACAGTTGGTCACCCAGTGTACATTGCTGTGGTATATTTATTTTTCATGGTATCAGAGAAACATCTGTGTCCCCAAATAAATTAGTGGTCCTATCTTTAATGACTCATGCAGTTGTAAGAAGAAATTTTACCTGCCAACACACACAGTGAAAGTGGACAGATGCAGCTAAAGCGTGAGCTATAAAAGCAGCATCGTACTTCATTATTCATAAAAATCAAAGCTTTAGCATCATTCCTATTTCCCCCAAATTGCTAACTACTTTTACCTAATATTCTATTAGAGTTAAACAACCTTCACCTCCAATAACTCTCAAAGCCCCTAAATTTGGGGGGTGGCTTCCACAGTCTGTTTATGAGTTCCCACCACCACCTGAAATGCCCCCACTTTATCCCACAAACTACTGGCACAAGGAGTCCATCTTCGAAAGCCCACTCCACACTGCTGCCTCCGTGGAGATGTTCCGAATTTCCTGCCCCAGTCTCAGATCGGGTTTTCTCGCCCCATTTTGTTCCTTTTTCATGACACTTAGAGGAATTTCATTATTTTAAATACATGCAGAGTTTTACCATGATACTTCAGTAGAACATCACCTATTCTTCACAACTCCTCTGCACAGAGCAGGGACTCCTATTTACCTGACATGGGAGGGAGTTGAGGCTCAGGGTGATTGGGTCAGCTGTCTGAGCTGTCTGAGCTCAGGGGTTGTGGAACTGGAATTCAGACCCAAGGCTTCAAATCTAGCATATTTCTCCCTATTCTTCATTGTATGTACTTAATCAACCCACTAGATTTCAAACCATGGGAGGTACCAGAAGCCACATATTAGTTGTCATTGTACCTTGGTAACAACATTTAAGTAGAGATTTTAATCCTGACATTCAAATTCCTACCTTAGGTAAACTTTATTTGCTAGTACTTATGGCTGCAAATACATTTGTCCAGGACAGTTCTCATTTGGATTTTTTGTAATTAGGTACCATATCTATTCTTTACTATGGCCCCCAGACCAAGGATGCAGTTTTAAGAGGATCCATGAGGCACATTTCATAATTAGAAAGCTAATCTCTCCCTTCTTGATTGGTATGAAGGTCCATCATTTCTTAAAGCGGCATTCCTCAAATTGTGATCTATAAACTGCAACCATGTGCACTACAACCTCCCAGGGCCTTGTTAAAAAAGCAGATCTCTGTATTCTACCTCAGGTTTACTGATTTGGAAAACCAGGAGATGGGGCTCAGGAGTGATGATCTTTATGGTTAAAGTTTAAACTGAACTTGAACATTGAAGCTTGCCTCCCATGACTAGCATGTAAAGTTCTTATAAAGATAATACCTTCTTTTGAAAATTTCTGCTGCCGCCTTTCTTTCATTTTACAATTTGTGGCTTCAGTCTCCATCATGTCTGCAGCACTCTTTCTCTATTTCCATATCATCCCATCCTACCCATTCCTGAATGCCTGATTCAAGTCTCAGTCTTCCGATGTCACCTCTCCCTCTGCTGAGACATTGTCATCGCGATGGCTGTTATTACGGTTGCTTTGGCTGAGGTACCAAGCGTTGAGCACTTACCACATGCCAGCCATTGTGCTAAGCACGTTATACACACTCTCTCTTTAAATCCTCACAAAAACCTTGTATCTTCTGTTATTATCCTCATGCTTAAGATATTGAAACTGAAGTCAAAGGGGTTTAGCAACTAAGCCCCAGACCATGAAGGGTGACATCAGGACACAGGTCTTAGTCTCTCCAACACTGAAGCCTATACATTTAGTAGCTGCACTGTGTGCTTCATTCACCTTTGCCCTTCAGTACGGTGTCTTCACCTTGATAGGCACCTGTCATGGTGAACATTGATGGAACAATCTCCTTGGGTGGACTGATGAGCAGCAAAGCTCACTGAATCATTCTTACCAGGAATTACGAAATCTAAATGAGCCCAATTCCTCAACCTGTCACACTGGTTTGTCTTACCTTAATTTAGAGGGAGAAACGTTCATGATCAGCCAAATGGCTCATTTCACTTCCACTGACAGAATGGCCCACACTTCAAACAAAAATGCTGTAATAATGCATTTTTGCAAAATGGAAAAAAATACTGAAAAAAAATGCAATACCAAAGATACTGAATAGGTACTTGATTAGTCAAACAATTAACAACAGTGATGATAATATTCACAATAATAGGTAGCTCACAGGTATATGGAGGTCACTATAGGATAGGCACTACAGTTAGTGTGTTTGTGCATGATCTGATTTAATTCTTGAAACAGTCGTAAAAAGTAGAAATTACTATCATCATCCCCATTCTACACATGAGGAAACGTAGGCTCAGAGAGGTTAACTAATTTGTACAAAGCCACATAGCTAAATGTGGTATAGAAATTAAGTAAACTCGAATCGTGGTGTACTTGACTCCCAGACCCAAGCTCATCATTGCTCTCTTCCATCAATGAAATTTCCTATTACAGATTGATTTGGAACTAATGATGAGAAATTACCTTTAAAAAATTTTAATAGTAGAGAACGAAGCTTAGTTTGCTCTATAAATTAAAACCAGACTGTAAAACTTACCTGTGGATATTAAAGGAAGACTGGAAATTAGACTTGCCTGTCACATCAATGAATGCAAATAGCTGCCAATTTGGTTTGGCACCTGTCTTAGTCCACTCTGCTGCTAGAACAGAGTACCATGGACTGGGTGGCTTATAAAAGATATTTATTTCTCACACCTATGGAGGCTAGGAAGTCCAAGATCAAGGTGCCAGCAGATTTGATGTCTTGTGAGCACCCACATTCTGATTCATAGATAGCGGTTTTCTCACTGTATCCTTGCATAGCAGAAATGACGAGGCAGCTCTTTGGGACTTCTTTTATAAGAGAACTAATCCCATTTATAAGGACCCCACCTTCATGACCTAATCACCTCTCAAAGACCTCACCTTCAAATACCATCACATTATGGATTAGGTTTCAACACTTGAATTTTGGAGTAAAGGGACACAAACATTCAATCTCTACCAGCACCTAAACACAATTATTAAAAGTCAGGTTTAGCTGGCTATATTATCAAAGGCAGTTGGCATTGGTCCAGAACAATAATCTAAATGTCAAGTTTCTCTCAAAATAGTTGATGTTGGTCTATCAAGAATTATTTAGTCTAAATATCACAAAGAAGCTGTGCATACAAAGTTTGTCAGTAGAAGAAAAGTTTCTCAAAGATCAGCTAATGAAATAGAAAACTTTTTAATATAAAGCAAACATTCCATTAGTAGTTTTACCTTTTATATTTATATCAAAGTAAAAGGAGAAGGGTAGGTAGGAGACCAAAGAATATTAGAATACAGTACTGATTTTATCTTATTTTTTACTTGATGTTCCTTTGCTCTGTTCTTGGTTTCCTCCTTCACTGTTCCTTTCTACCTTGGGAAGCAGAAAGTAGAAGACCACATAGCTCACCCTCCACATCATGGATGAGTGATGGAAAAGTCAAAACTTTTGTATTTGGCTTAGCAGGAAAAATGTTCTAGATATACCTTCGCAAAGTTAAGACACAATGCTATGGCTAGGCTACATCCATCGCATCTTAAAATTCTCTCCTGGGAGAAAGTAACATCCTTCTCATTTAGAAATGTAGCATAAACATTTCCATTTCTATGAGGAACCTAGAAGAAAATAAGTCAAGTTAGTAAATGGCACGTAAAAGTTTTCCAATATCCTAAAGTGTTACACTCAGTACTCTTTTCATCCATCACATTGATAAAGCCTTTTATTACTAGGTACATGAGGAAAGTTGTTTTGTGTAACTGATTAAAACTATATTTTCCCCAGCTAAGAAACTTTACAGGCTGTCTGCAGGTGGGATAACAGATCGCATTTGTTAATCCACTCATTTCAGGCAGAAGCTTCAAATGGCATGTCCTAATTTTAATATACTTCATAAATTTTCTCTCCTCCCTAAACCTTCTGTGTTGAATGTGCCTGTTTCTCTCAACCAATTTTGCCTCTTCAATATACATCACCTACTATTTCTCCCTCTGAATAATCTTTCTACTGCTTGTCAAAGAACCATCCTTCTCCAAGCTTCCCCAAATAAGTCCTTTACTTGACTCATCTTCTCATACTCTTTTTTTACCCTCATTTTCAGTGAAAGTATTCAACTCCATCTCATTTCTCTTCATTCTCCCACTGTTTGACATTTGTTAGTTCTGTAAGTGTATTTATTATTTACAAAAATGCAGTAAAGATATATGTCTTCAGAACATGTGGCGTGAAAGATGTTAAGCCATCACATTTCACATTTTTTTTTCTTTTTCAGAAAAATCAAAAGCTCAAGGATGATTCTGCACAAAAAAAAAGTTGTTGAGTTATCAGGTAGTTTCTCAAGACTCCTACAGTAGATGAGACTACACAAGGGTAAGAAAGGGAGGTGGAAGCACCTCTGCTGTACCCCTGGGGTTCAGTTTCTGTGGAATATTCAGAGACAGAAGTGACTTTTCATCCCCTCTACAGTTTGAAGCTCCCCTCCCAAAATTTCAATGTGGTGTTTGCTTTGGAGCAAACAAGGAAAATTATATTCAATCTTCTTGCATGTTTCTCAACGTTTTAAAAGCTATTCGTGAAGTTGGAAGCCTTAGCCAGAGTTTATAAGTATCTAGACAAAGCCAAAATACTTTAGAAATATAATGAATGAGCCCATTTTAACACAACTCTTATCATTTCCCTTGCCAATATGGGTTTGGAATTAGAGCGGCACTATCAGAAAGGATGGTCCCTCCTCTCCTCCCTCCCACTGACTGGCCAGCCCAGTGATTGACTCTCAAAGGCCAACCATTGGAGTCACTAATGTGTTTTTCTACTTGGGCTGTTCATTAGCATCATCTGGAAAACTCTAAAAAATATGCATGCCCAGGCCCTGCCCAGACCAGTTAAATTAAAATCTCTAGTGATGCTAGATAATCATGAGTGTTTTTAAAAATCTCCCCGGTGAATTTAATGAGCAGCCGAAACTGAGAACTATTCTACTCCACAAAGGACAAACCCAGGTGATCTCTGTCCCATTAGCACATTGATTGGAAGTTTGGCCTATTATTTGTTGAGCCTGGAAATTCAAGGAAGGGAATCTCAATAAGCAAAACACTTTGTACTCATGAGGAACAGTGGAAATGTTACTGAACTGCAGAAAACAAGCTCGAGGGAAAAGAGGAAGGACCCTACATCAAAAGTTCTCCCTTGCATAAAATTCAACTGCAGATCACTAAGAAGGAGCTGTTACTCACCTGTGCCTTATGGGCAAACTATAAGCATTTATCTTTTAGAAGGGCCCTACTTTATTTAAACTATTTAGAGTTAATCAGTTGCTCTTTAATATTGTCAAACAGAAAAGGCATGACTGTTTTTAAAACAACAAATTATTGTCTGATATGATAGTCTACATTATTATATTTTGTTAATTATTCAAAAGAATTGTACATAGTAAGTACTGTTTCATTTCACAGTTAAAAAAACAGGAGATCAGAGAAGTTAAGTAAATTACCCCTAAACACATGGATGAATATCCAGGTCCATGTATCATGAAAGAATGTCTACTTTGCCTACCTTGCAGACACTTTTAATCCAAAGGCAGAGAAAACACTAATAGAGGAGCCATTCTAGACTTAATTCTGAATGCAAAGAAAGAAGCGATTGGACATGTGGAAACCTCAGGAAACTTGAGCCAAACTGACTATATTATCCTGGAATGTGTGAAATAGAGGAAGAGGACACGAGGCAGAGTCAGGCATAAGCTGGAGACTTCAGGAAAGTAGATTTCAAAACATGAAAAAGAGAAGAATTAGGGCATCTTCACTCAAGGATGCACAAAGAGAATGAAATGATTTGTGAAGAAAGACAGGAAATGAAATCTGACTATATGCATTAAACAATCTCAATGCCACACAAAATGTACCCCAAGAACTGTGATTTCGAGAGTTCTCTCTGAGCACAAATCAAGCCAATTAAAAAGGGATGGGGACACTGGAAGGAGAAACACAAAGCCAAAATGAATAGAAGACAGTCAGGTGACTCTGCTCTCACAGTGCCATAGCATTCATAAGGTCCAATAATGACCAGCCACTCATTCACTATTTATATTCTACGCCATAACGTGGCAGGCATTGTGCTAGGCACTGGAGATCCAGTGTTTGCCAAAACTCACTTGTCCCCTGCTCTCAGGGAGCTTATATCCTCCTGAGGCCAATCAATAGAAGTTGGCCTACAAAACATTGTAATTAGAAATTGTGATAAATACTGTAAAGAAAAAACATAGGAAGCTTAGAAAAAGGAGGCCATGACCTAGAATGGGGTCTCAAGGATGAATTTTTCTGAGGCAGAATGAATGTGTGTGTGTGTGTGTGTGTGTGTGTGTGTGTGTGTGTGTGTGTGCATGTGTGTGTGGTGTGTGTTTAGAATAGTACCACCCAAAGTGGGAATGACATGTGAGGAGGCTCCGGAGGGAAAAGGCTAAGTGCAGCCAAGAGCCAGAAGTTCCAGCTGTGCCAGGACATGGAGGCTGGGTCAGGGAGGCCTCTTGGGTCCTTGGATAGATCCAGGCAGGAACATCACATGACCAGATTTGCATTTCTAAAGCTCACTCAGGCTACAAAATGGGAAACAAAGAAGAAAACCAATTATAATGTGGTAATAGTTCTGGCAAGAGAGGAAGGCAGCGTGGGCCTGAGGGCTGCAATGGTATTGGAGCAGAACAGATAGATTGAGCGACATTTAAGAAGCAAAATCACCACAGTTGAGTGCCTGAGTGCTGGATTTGATAAGGGCATGTGGGAAAGTTAAGGTCACTGATCCTATCTGAACTAACTTATATTCATAGCTTTTCCATTTTTGTGGGATCTGGGGGTGGGGAACAGGGTAGGAGGGTCTTATGACTTTTAGTTTCTTTTATTCCATAATAATCCCCCCTGGTTTTTTTCTCCCATTTATATGTTAGTAAAACTAGATCATTTAGCCGATAGAGTATCTCCTACACTGCATTTGACTGATTATTTCCTGTGTTATTGTTTTACTTGTTCCTCGACCTGCCAGATTTCCTGTAAAATGGTAGCTCTGAAGGCTCGATTGACTCTGGTTCAAATCATTTTTCCCTTTTGACCAGAATGCTTCACAGGTTGTACTGTGGGCTTCCTGTTACCTCACATCCCAAGAAGCACCATGTCAGCCTCGGCCCTTTCAGTGATGCTGGGATGGATGTCTGGGGGTGTCAGTCGGGTCAACATGGTGCCTCCCTTATGAAGTTCCTCTTCTATCTTTCACTTAATGGTTTTAGCACCCACCAATGGAAGTTGCCTCAATCCACTAAAATAAAGCCTACTTAGATAAAAGAATAAAAGTGCATGGAGATTTTTAGCACAATGTGAGAATCTTCAAGGAATCAAATCTAAAGGCCTGACTCCAGCTTCCCCAACTTGGACTCCATCTCCCAAGCTACTCTGGTTTCCAGAAGCTCTGGATACAGCTTCTCAATGGCTCCCTTCATTCTTCTGACTCCCCGTGCAAACACCAAAGTCCTATCTTCCATCCCTTTTCTTTTCTCTTTCTACCGTCTCTTTTGGGTAAATTGGAACCTTTCCTCGGAAACTTCTATCAGCTCTAGGCAAACATCTTACAAAACCATAACTCTAGCCTCAATCTGAGTGGCAATTTTCAGTTGCCAACTAGTCCCTCCCTGTGCTATAAATCATGCATGTCACCTTTAATCTCCAAACCACCTTCACACCCTTCTCTCTCTGCCAAGCATATCATGATTCTCTCAATCACCATTGACTACTCCTCCTACTCCCCCTCCCTAACTATCTACATCAATAAGTTGACAAGTCAGTGCGATCTTCCTCCAACACATCACTCTCATTTTTCTCTTTCCAAACTGCAGCCACCCTTCTAGCACAGGTCGTTATCTCTTGCCTAGACTATTGCAAATAGCTTCTTAATAGCTCTCCCAGCTTCTGGGTCCTGCTCTGTGCAATCCATCCTGAACCAAGGGCCAATAAAAGCCCCTAAAAGCACAGCTAGAGTCATGTATTTCTCCTGCTCAAACAGCTTCACTTTCTGCCCATTAGCTACCCAAGGAAATACAAGCTGTTCATACCATATCCAATCTGTCTCTTTGCCCTAACAGACTTTTTTCCACCCACATCATCCAGTCCTGCACCACTTGGCCACTGCTGGTCTCTGAGCCTCTACCCACGGGTAGTGCCTATAGTTAATACCTTGTTCCTCATGCCCAAACCATCTTTGATTACTGCCAACCTAGGCAATCTTTTTCCTCCTTGCTAAGTGACATATATATATAGCCAATTATTTGAATCACCGAGGTATTATATTCTCTTTGTAACAAATTCCCCTTTCATTCTCTAATTTCACCACCCTATGGGAATAATTTAGTGTACTTACTTCCTTTCATAATTGCTCTTTACATAAAAAATAGTTGCACAAAGATATATATTTGGTGAATAACTCGGCTTATAAAGATATCATATTATATACATGGTAAATAATATACACATACATATTATTCTGCAACTATTTTTTTCTCATATAATTTACATGGCCATGTTTTCACCTCCATTTATAGAGATCCATTTCATTCATATTAATAAATTGTCTCACATACTATAATATAAATAGTACTTAATTTATTCTGCCATTCCCAAGGTTGAACATGAAGTTTATCCCTTTTTAAAACTATTACAAACAAGGCTGAAATAAATATGTTTGTATGTAAATCATTATAACGTACTACTTTTTTGTCAAATCAATTGCCAGAAGTGTTACTGGTTCTAATGACATGTACATTTTAAATCTAATAAAATACAGCCAGATTACTTTCCAAAAGTAATAATGTACTCTTAATGACAATAGCATATGAAGACAAGTATTTATTTTTTAAAAAAATACTTTTCTAATAATAATGTGTTAAATTTTTTAGATTTTTGTCTTGCTGCTGGAAAAATGGTGTCTCAGAAAGTTTAGCATTACATACCCTTTGTGAATACTTTCTTTATTCTGTCATCTTACATATCTTCCTTTCCTCTGAAACCCATGTAGCACATTTTTTGTCCTTTTGTGGAACTTTTCATATTATACTTCATACTGAATTGGGTTTTCTTATTTTATATCTCTACCACATTATAGCTTCAAAAGGAAATGTCTCCTATCTTGCCTATTCTTATCACTTCCATAATGTTAGCACAGTGGCAGTGCATAAGAGATGCTCCAATTTTTGTTTAATAGAATCCAGTTGATCAGTTAGAGAAATGGGAACTCAAGGTTAGGAATTAAATGTGTGTGACTCTGTGTTCTCTTGGAGGAAATTGCAAGTTGATTGCCACAAAATTCTATCACTGACAAAATGGTTAAAGATACAGCTATATGATGTCCACTTATCAAATCTACTGCTGGAACATCCAGGGTAGGTAAAGCCAATCAACAAGAGTATGACAACACCACGATGTTTATAAGCCAGAACCCTGGGCAGAAGCAAATCCAAAAGGAAGCACCACATAGTAAGAAAAGTACTTTTCATTTGTAGGTACCTCGTTTTAAGGTAAACTCAGATAAAATGCTTACCAGTGGGTAAAAGATAAAGAAAGATTATAGTTCAGTATAAAAATGACTTGATTACACCTAAAAGGCAACAGAGATAACATACACTGAATATGTCTATATTCAGTGTTTTGAGAGTTGCCTTGCATACATATGTGATCCAATTTTACATACACACACACACTCACATACATCATTGTGAGGTATATATTATTTTTATTATTATCGTTTTATTCCATTTGTTGTATAAAGGCTGTCCGGAAAGTATCCAGCCATAGAATATGAAAAATGAAGCCATTTATTGAAGAAGAGACCAGACACAAGAAACATTGTACATAGGACAATAATGCCTCAGTCCCCTTCAAAGTGGGCACCTTGGGACCACACAGAGTTCTCCCAGTGTCTCTTCCACTGTTCAAACATTCTGCACAATCCTTTGTTGAAATCACCATCAGCTGCCTTGTCATATCGTCCTGAATCCCACCGATGGTCTGAAATCTCTTCCCTTTCAAAGGTGATTTTACTTTGGGGAAAAGCCAGAAGTCACAGGGCACCAAATCTGGGCAGTAGGGGGCCTGAGTCACCTGGGTGATTTGAGGTTTCGTGAAAACACTCTGCAGGAGAGGTGATGCATGGGCAGGCACATTGTCATGATGAAGATGCCAGTCGCCAGTTGCCCATAGCTGAGGCTGATTTCATAGCATTGCATCTCTCAACCGGCAAAGAACATTGAGGGGGTACTCCTTATTAATTGTTTGACCTGGAGGAGTACACTGGTGATGGACAACACCTTCCCAGTCAAAAAACACAGTTCACATGGTCTTGATCTTACTGCGACTTTGCTGGGCCTTCTTCAGGGGTGGAGAACCAGGCGACTTCCATTGGGACGAGTGGGCCTTTGTTTCCGGATCATAGCTGCAGACCAACGATTCATCTCCGGTTATGACCTTCTTTAGGAAATCTGGTTCATTGGTAGCAGTTTGAAGCAGGTCATTAGCAAATGCAGCCCGATGTTCCTTCTACACTAGTAGCAGAATTGGTGGAATGCATTTTGCCACAACACATTTTATGACAAGATCCTGCACCAAAATCTTGGACAGAGTAATTTTTGGAATCCCCAGATCAGCTTCTAGCTCTCACACTATCAGTCACTGATCTTTGTTGATTGCAGCCCGTTCACGTTTAACATTCTCAGGTGTTCTGCTTGTTGCAGGCCTTCCAGAACATGCATCACTTTAAACAGATTTTCAACTAACTTTGAAGCATTTGTACCACACTTTTATTTGCATTGCACTCATTGCATTGTCCCTGAAAGCCTTCTCAATCATCCGAATGGTTTCCAAGGAGGAATGTTCAAGTTTAACGCAAAATTTGATGCAGATTTGTACTCCACTTGCTCAGTCATTTTGAATACAATGGCCACACAGTGCACATGCTCACTCAGCAGCGTCTAATGCCCACTGACTAGTACAGAGATGTTGTCATTGTTCATGCATGAGCATTTCA